GGCCTCAGGGGGCACTTCTGGCCTGGCGTCCTGCACCTGCTGTTCGGCCCATCACACTCGCTGCCACAGAGACAGTCATGAGTCCTCAGAGGCGGCCAAGTGGAGTTGAACAGGCTGATGGAGCTGATAGGGAACTAAAGCCCGAAGCCCCCAGCACCTCCCTGGGTTCTCAGCCGGCCAGCGTGGAAGGGATGCGAGCCCCGCTGACCCGAGAACTGACCCGTCCCAGCATGGGTTCTATAGACAGGAATGCGACCGCGCTCCCCGGGAAGCGCATCCGCATGAGGTTACTGAGGTCACTGCGCCCAGAGGGAGACGGCCTGCTACAGGGAGAGCTGACGCGCTCTCCTCCATGTCATCCTGGACAGGAACAAATGGAATAAGAGAGGTTATTTTTCCAGAGCGCTTTCATTTTTTGAAGAGTTCAATGCCAGAGCACTGGGCCTTATTGCTTTGCCATGTTTCCTTTATAAAAACTCCCTTTAACATGTCCAGAACCTGTGTGTCACTTCCAGAGACTCCAGGATGCCTTAGAACAGTGGTTCTCAGCCTTCTGGCCCTTTAAATACAGTTGCTCATGTTGTGACCCAACCATAACATTATTTTCGTTGCTACTTCATAACGGTCATGTTGCTACTGTTATGAATCGTCATGTAAATATCTGATATGCAGGATGGCCTTAGGCGACCCCTGTGAAGGGGTTGCGACCCACAGGTTGAGAACCGCTGCCTTAGTAGAATGAAGCTCCTGCATGTGGCAGCCCCCAAGGAAGGGGACTCCGGGCGAGTCCCAGCAACCTGCCCCCTCCTGACTGGGCGCCGGGGGCTCCCCTGTGGCGTCTCAGGGCCGCGGTGTCCTCTGCACCAGGCGCTGGGCACAGGGACAGACGGGACACGTTAGGGGCCACTATGACTCCACGCGGACAGGGTGCGCTGTGTGGGTTTGCACCCACCTCCCCGCCTTTTCGGGGACTGTGGATTCCCAGCGTGGGCTAGCCACACTCCTCCTCGCCCAGGAGGGGAGGTTTCTTGTGTCTGACTCGGGACTCGAAGCTGGCTGGTTGCTAACTCTTCTCTTCTGGCAGGTGGGGCTGGAGAAGAAGGGCCGGCCTGGGAGGGAGGGAGTGGCGGGCACTGCCCAGTGGCCTCCGGGTTCTCATGGCCCAGAGTTCCTAACGCAGAGGAAGTGGCCTCCGGGATCCTGTGTCAGGAGGAATGGAGCTCCCTGAATTCTAGGCATCCGGCTGGTCTTTGAGATGCGAGGCGCTCTGTGGTCACCGCCTTTTGCAAGGGGCAGCAGCATGGAGGAGAGAAAGAGGCAAAGTCTGGACTTCTACCGGTCAGAAGTCCACGTGGGCACAGAAGGAGATAAAGAACCAAGCCTCACCTTCCCCAGATAAACTCTCCAAAGGAAAGGGGAGGAGGGGGACCGAGAGGATGAGACTGGGGGTGTTTCCCTGTGCAGTACCCCGGGTCTGCCACCTTACCCCCAGCCTGGGCTTCAGAGGGAGGGGGAAATGGAAGGAGAGGTGAGGAAGGAGGATGAAAACCCCAGTCGGCTTGGGGGGCCCTTGAGCAGGTGTGGCCCAGGCCTCATTCCCAGCAGGACCCGGGGAAGCCACAGAGCACCCCTCCTCCGCGCGGGTGGCCTGGCGAGGAGAGATGTCTGCGGGGTGTCTGAGCTAGCGGACCCGAGAGAGCCTCAGAGAGCGCCTGCATCCAGCAGGGATGACGACCAGTGGGTGCTCACTACGCCTGGAGAAGCATGAGCACAGCCAGGAGAGTCCTCTGAGCTACAGAGGCCCCACTGCAGGGATGAGGAGGAGGAGTGGCCTACAGGGACCTAAAGTCTAGGTCCATACACGGACCCAAAACTGTCAGGGGAGATGGCCATTTCAAGGGATGCCGGGCCCTCCTCACCTCGACCCCCAGCTCCAGCCCCTGTGTTTCAACGCTGTAGGAGTTCCCTGGAAAGGACGCTCGAAATCCTGAAATGCAACTGGGTCTCCCACCCTCTTTGTGGAACTGGACTTTGAAACAGAAAATGAATTCAACCATAGAAAAACAGCTACATCTCTTTGCACACCGTGGGTTTCTGGACTGAGATTTGTACCTGCTAAAACACAGTTCATTTGTAAAGGAGCTATTTTCATAAACCAAAGAACTAATCATCAAAACTGCATCATCTCTAATAATAAAAGCATAATATGCTACTTAGACCGGAAGAAGCCGGGGCTGTGAGGGAAGCCAGTGCCGGCAGCCAGGGGAAGGAAGATCTACTCTCGCATGAATTTTGTGCATCGGGCCTCTAGTTACCAAATAAAACCTAAAACACGTTTCTAAAGTTCACTTATTGAATGTAAGCTATGTACCAGGTACTGACCTTTTCTCTTTAATACATGACCTCTTTTACACGACCCCCATTTTACAATTACAACAATGAAGACAGAGAAGTTAAATAATTTGCCCAAGGCCACAATGGTGGTACAAAATGGAGCCAGAATTCAAACCCAGGAAGATCTGACTCCTAAAGCAATACTGTTAACTAATGCAAGCGACACATGTCCACTCACCTGGCTTCCCAGCTCTCTCCACGAATACTTCTAGGTCCTCTGCTGCTCATAGTTCCAAGGCAATTGTTACCAACCCCAAGTGTGTATGCCCAACTCTTCAAAGGACAAAATAAAAAACGTCAGAGTTTGGAGTAAGGAAAGGTTTATTGACCAAGAAGGTGCCAACTGAGAAGATGGAGACCTAATGGTACCTCAAACCTATCTTGCTCGCTGGACGAGACTAAGGGATTTTAAGAGGTTTGGAGGAACAGGTACGGGGAAGTGCTGGTGGGGCAAGTTTTAGTTGAAGGACCTTGGAACTTGGCCATTTATGATAAAGGGTCATCAACACCAGATCTTCCTGGGCAGTGGACTCTGCTCCTGAAGGTTATGTGCTGGTCCTTTAGCTTCTGTCCTGGTTGTGTAGGGAGGGGGTGGGGAGTGGCAAGATTTTGGTTCTGGGTGCAGTGGGAGGTCAAAGTTCTCTCATCTGTGCAACCTCTGGTTACCTGGCATGAGGTTGCGGTCTGTTATCTCTTAAAAGCAACTCAGTATCTTGTTAAACAGGACAGGACCATTCTGAGCTGGTTCTGTGGTTGCACAATCACACACTGGTGCACAGAGCCCTAGAAAAAACAAACACAAATGTCCTATCCTTCCTACTCCTCGTTTCCAAATTGCCCAATAATTAGGTGGATTATTACTGTTGTAATTTTAGTGCCTGGACTTCAGTTCTAAAGATTTTTTAAAAGTGATTTTGAGACAGAGAAGAAAGGAGGCAGGGGGAGAGAGGGAGAGAGGGGAGAGAGGGGAGAAGGAGAGAGGAGGAGAGAAGGAGAGGGGGAGAGAAGGAGAGGAGGAGAGGGGAAACGGGGAGAGGGGGAGAGAAGGAGAGGGGGAAGAGAGAGGGGGAGGGAGAGGGGGAGGGAAACACTGACGCAAGAGAGCAACACCCACAGGCTGCCTCCTGCACGGCCCCCATTGGGAATCAAACCGTCAACTTTTCAGTGCACTGGAGGATGCCCAACCGAGCCACATGGGTCAGGGAGCCTAGAGTTAATTCAGTTCCTATTTCTTTTGCAGCCACCACATCTTGTTAATCAAAATTCATTAAACTTCACCAAGGAGCAAAATGTGTCAGGAGACAAAATTCTAGACCAGAAGTCAGTTGACTATACTCCTTGGTTTCTCATGCTTCCCTTCCAATTGACCTTAGTCAATCACTTAACTGCTCTGACCTCAGTTTCCTCATCTATAAAATAAACAGTCTTAAGGTCCCTACCAGTTCTAACTTCCCACCGTTCTGAAGAACCAGGATGAAGCTGTTATTTTACGGGAACTTAAACTGTAATTCTTCAACTCAGAACTCTTCCCTGATCTCCATCTGTATCTTTCTCCCAGATTTAAATCTCCCACGTTCTGGGATCAGGCACAGGTGAAGGGTTTCACAAAGGGATGGAAAGTACATAGAATAATATCTCATCTTGTTGGTATTAGGAGGAACATGAAGACTAAAAAGAAAAAATCGTTTTCAGAAAGGCTCTTCATATCCTAAATAATAAAAGCCTAAAATGCTAAGTGTCCAATCATCTGGACAGTGACTGGGTCTACTGTTCAACCAAAGTGTAATACGCTAATGACATGCTAAGACCGCTCAGCCACTTGCTATGACGTGCACTGGCCACCAGGGGGCAGATGCTCCGACCAGTAGGTTAGCTTGCTGCTGGGGTCCAACCTATCGGGACTGAGCGAAATGGGCCGGACACGCCCTAGAGCCCTCCCTGGCCCCGACTGTGCACTTGTGGGGTCCTTCAGCTTGGCCTGCGCCCTCTTGCAATCTGGGACCCCTCGGGAGATGTTGGAGAGCCGGTTTCATCTGGATCCCGTAGGCCCTCCCCCCTCCTCCCCCCTCCCCCTCGCCATGCCAGGGCACCAGATACAGGGCTCTCTGCTGGTGAGTGCTGCTGCAGCTGGGTGAGCCTCTCTAGATGGGGACTGATTGGGTGTGAGCCCGCATCAGACACAGTGGGGCTGGATGACTGCGGGCTTCAGCCCGATCCCTGCAGGCCACCCCAAGGGACCCCATCCCTGCACGAATTTGTGCACTGGGCCTCTAGTGACTATATAAAGAAACATAGCGCTCTAAAAAGATTTTATAGCCACATTTTGGCTAAAATGTAGAGAAAAAGAAGTCATCCTGATAACAGACCCTCCCATAGGAGAACTGTCTTAGTCGTTTGGAATTGCTTCCTACCATCTGTTCTTGAAATTTTTTTTCTGGTATTTGGTGACTTTTCTGTTCACATGGCTGTTATCTCCATTTCCTTGAGTGTAAATTCTTTGGTTTATTGAGTTTGTCATTTGCCTTGCATGATGTTGACCGTACTCAGATGTTTTATTATTCTTAGGGTGTACCCATGACTCAGATCTGTATAATCAGAACATTTCATACCCTTGGTGTGAGTGTTTATTTAAGGGATACACATGACCCAACAAAACCAATCGATTTTTAACAGAACCTCAGACACTGGCAGAAACTCTCAGAAAAATAAATTCTGATGGACGCATGCCATGTGTTGCTAGGAACCATTTTGCCGCTCTGTAGGAAGAGCTTGCCCAAGATCGAAGCTAACGCAGAGAAAGCCAAGTCCGGCGATGAGGAGAAACAGGCTGCCTGATTTCCATACACTGTTTGAGTGCCCAGAGCCCAGGCTACTCCCGGGACTGTCAGTAACAGCCAATAAACTCCCTTTTTATTTAAGCAGAAGCCATTTTAAATCATAATTTTTGTCACTTGTAACTGAAATAAATCAAACTAGAATTTGTAAACCTGCAGAGAAAGTCCGTAGTTCTCTCCTTCTTCCCATCAGTAGGTACCCAAAGGGCTTCTGAAACTGAGGCAATCGCTGTGCCACAGGAAAAGAAGGTACAGGCACACCTCGGAGACACTGCCGGTTTGGTTCCAGAGACTACGATAAAGTAAATATCATAATAAAGTGAATCACAGGAATATTTTGGTTTCCCAGTGCACAGCAAAGTTCTGTTTACACTATACTATCTATAGCCTATTAAGTGTGCGACAGAATCATATCTAAAAAACAATGTACATACCTTAAGTAAAAAATACTTTATTTTCGGATTATGTTGCCATTATTATAACTTAAAAAATAATTTTGAAATTCAGGCTCTATTTGCTCTCCATCCAAGGCAATGAAAACTATGGGTGGAGGCTACAGGGCAACAACAAAAAAAGTGAGAACATTCTTGGTTTAAAATGCACGCCCAAGTAACCCCTGGCCGGGTGGTGGCTCAGTTGGTTGGAACATCATCCCCTGAACCTAAAAAAGGTCTCTACACATATGGGAGGCAGCAGATTCATGTTTTTTGTGGGTTTTTTTGTTTGTTTTTTCTCTCTCTCTCTCCCTCTCTCCCTTCCTCTCTAAAAATCAACAAGAAAAAGAAAACAATGAAAAAAAATCAGTAAGAACATATCATCAGGTGAGGATTTTTTTAAAAAGCACAAATAACACCTAGGTATGTAATCATAGATTCTTTTACCTGATCTCCCCCCTGCCTAAGAATTCATGGAAGACCATAATATTTCCCATCTTAAATTGCATCTGAAGTTAAAGGGTTTCCTCATCCTTTCACCCCTCCAAAGTCTCAGCAATTTTCCCTGAAAGAGAGCAAAACCTGAAGCAAAATCCCAAATTAAAAATTTTTGTTTTGCCTGTTTTTATGCCGTTTCTTTTGGCATAGGAGCAAAGTGGGCAATATGATTTTCACATAATACTGTAGTTGAATTTTTATTATTCCAGCATGTATATAGGGTGGGGAAAAGGTCTACTCGAAAGTTTATTCTTGTATACATGTATTCTTAATGATTGTATTATTTGCCATATAAGTAACTGGAAACTACTTTTGCCCCACCCTGTATACATTACATGGCTTTTAGAAATTGTTACCTAAGTGACCATTTTTTTTCTTGCTTATTCTAATTCAAGCACTTTTCAAAACCCACATTTAGTAAAAGGAAATGTTTCATTCCGTAACTTAAGATTATTACACAGCACCTATTGTAGCTTATTATTAACCTTAAAGTATACCTACACCTGAAATCGGAAACATACAGTCACGGAGCGGGTCAGTGCTAAGCGGGGACAGTACCCAGGCCCTTTCCCACGCCGCCTCCCGGCTGTCGCGCCGCGGGCGTCACTGTTTCAGGAAACATGCAGGACGTCCTGACCTCTGCGCGGCGGGGTTCGGCCACATCCACCCCGAGGGGGTCCTCCGGGGGGAGGGGGAGACAGCGGGGATCCACCCCGAGGGGGCAGCGGGG